TCTACAGACAAACAGTCAAATCATCTACAGGCACACATTTAAATAATCTTCAGACATACACAATCAGATCATCTACAGACACACACAGTCAGATCAACGTCAGACATACACAGTCAGGTCATCTACAGACACACACAGTCAGATCAACAACAGACAAACAAGAAGATCATCTACAGACACACACAGTCAGATCATCAACAGACAAACAGTCAAATCATCTACAGACACACAGTCAGGTCATCTACAGACACACACAGTCAGATCAACTTCAGACATACACAGTCAGATCAACTACAGACACACACAGTAAGATCATCTACGTACACTGTCAAATTATCTAGACACACAGTCAGATCATCTACAGACAAACAGTCAAATCATCTACAGACACACATTTAGATCATCTTCAGACATACACAATCAGATCATCTACAGACACACACAGTCAGGTCATCTTCAGACACACACTGTCAGGTCATCTACAGACACACAGTCAGATAATCTACAGACATATACAGCAAAATCATCTACAGACACGCACAGTCAGATCATCTACAGACACAGTCAGATCATCTTCAGACATACAAAGTCAGGTTATCTACAGACACACAGAGACAAATCATCTACAGACACGCACAGTCAGATCATCTACAGACAAACAGTCAAATCACCTACAGACACACATTCAGATCATCTTCAGACATACACAGTCAGATTATCTACAGACACACAGTCAGTTCATATACAGACACAGTCAGATCATCTACAGACACACACAGTCAGATCATCTACAGACATACAAAGTCAGGTCATCTACAGACACACAGTAAAATCATCTACAGACACACACAGTCAGACCATCTACAGACACAGTCAGATCATCTTCAGACATACACAGTCAGGTCATCTACAGACACACAGAGTCAGATCATCTACTGGCATACAAAGTCAGATCATCTACAGACACACACAGTCAGATCATCTACAGACAAACAGTCAAATCATCTACAGACACACATTCATATCATCTACAGACACAGTCAGATTATCTACAGAGACACACAGTCAGATCATCTACAGACACAGTCAGATTATATACAGAGACACACAGTCAGATCATCTACAGACACACAGAGTCAGATCATCTACTGGCATACAAAGTCAGATCATCTACTGGCATACAAAGTCAGATCATCTACAGACACACACAGTCAGATCATCTACATACACACAGTCAGATCATCTACAGACACACATAGTCAGATCATCTACAGACACACACAGTCAGATCATCTACAGACACACTTAGTCAGATAATCTACAAACAGTCAAATATTCTACAGACAGTCAGATTATCTTCAGACACGCAGTAAGATCATCTACAGACATACACAGTCAGATCATCTACAGACACACATTTAGATCATCTGCAGACATACACAATCAGATCATCTACAGACACACATAGTCAGATCATCTACATACACAGTCAGATCATATACAGACACACACAGTCAGGTCATCTACAGACAAACAGTCAGATAATCTACAGACATATACAGCAAAATCATCTACAGACACGCACAGTCAGATCATCTACAGACACAGTCAGATCATCTTCAGACATACAAAGTGAGGTTATCTACAGACACACACAGACAAATAATCTACAGACACGCACAGTCAGATCATCTACAGACAAACAGTCAAATCACCTACAGACACACATTCAGATAATCTTCAAACATACACAGTCAGATTATCTACAGACACACAGTCAGTTCATCTACAGACACACAGTAAAATCATCTACAGACACACACAGTCAGATCATCTACAGACACAGTCAGATCATCTTCAGACATACACAGTCAGGTCATCTACAGACACACAGAGTCAGATCATCTACTGGCATACAAAGTCAGATCATCTACAGACACACACAGTCAGATCATCTACAGACATACACAGTCAAATCATCTACAGACACACATAGTCAGATCATCTACAGACACACACAGTCAGATCATCTACAGACACACTTAGTCAGATCATCTACAAACAGTCAAATCTTCTACAGACACAGTCAGATTATCTTCAGACACACAGTCAGATCATCTACAGACATACACAGTCAGATAATGTACAGACACACACAGTCAGATCATCAACAGACACACAAAGTCAGATCATCTACAGACACACATACAATCAGATCATCAACAGTCAAATCATCTACAGACACACAGCCAAATCATCTATAGACACACACAGTTAGATCACACAGTTAGTGCCCATTGACTGACTGTATTTTATCTCTTATATGCTCTTAATACCTCAGTATCTCTAGCTGACAATTTGGACTCTTCAGTCCATCAGAGAGCAGCTTCACTCCTGAATCCTGCAGGTCATTGCTACTCAGATCCAGCTCTCTCAGGACATAGTTTGAGGATTGTAGAGCTGATGACACAATTTCACAGGACTGAGCAGTGAGATTACAGCCAGCAAAACTGAAATAGAATAAAACACATGAGAATTAAATTCTTAATGGTTTATTGTCAATCATCTTTGACGATAATGGTCCTGACAGAACCTTGTATTTATATGCATATAGTTATATTAATTAAATGCTAAATTTAATATTAATTGTTAAATCATATAATAATTATATGAAAATATTATATGAATTAAACAATTATAATCTATAAAATATAAATATAATAAGAAATTAACAGCAAAAGATTTTGTCTCTAAACTTTTATCACTATAACCATTAATTTGAAGCGAGAGATACAGTGGATGGCTTTATTGCATCAGATATATGTTACTTTGCTCAGAGCTGATTGGTCCAGCTTTGGTTTGCGATCACTAACCCAGAATAAAACCTGAAACCGGCTTTGTGCAACAGGCCACTGGTGATTGTATGTAGGCAGGGGCATAGCAGCCGCGGGGGACGGGGGGGGGACATGCCCCCCGCACTTTTAGAAAAAGGTGATTCTGTCCCCCACACTTTGTTTGACCCACCTCCGATATTTCCGCCCGTGTTCTCTAATTTGTTTATTTAGATTTGAGTGAATTAACATTCAGCCAATCACAAGGTGAATCATCTCTTGGGCGCGTCTGTCATGAGCTTCAAATCTCCTGTTGCGCTCGTGATTTCACTTTGCTCTTTGGGCGATTTGAGGGTAAAATGCACCCCAGAAAATAAGCAGAGGGCGATTACGTCCTTTTTCAAACACTAAGTATGTGCTATGTCACGATGACACGAATCACGCAATCGAATTCCTACGTTATTATTTGACCTAACAGGGCATCTACACCGGATTCAAGTGATGCGATCATGCGACGCGACAAAAGAACCACTTAAGAATGAGGTATGTGACGCGTCACGGATCCAGTGTGTGTTATATGCTCTCCTACTTGTAAATCGCTTTGGATAAAAGCATCTGCTAAATGAGTAAATGTAAATATGGACAGCATAACTGATTATTGGGTTCGTTAGTCGCGTCGCGCCGTCATCCTTTTATCCCAACTGTTAAGAATTGGGATAAAAGTTAATGTTTAAGTGAAGTATAACTGAAATATTGTGTGTAAAATATATTTTTATTTCATAAAAATAAAGTACAGATGTTCACAGTGGTCTCAAAGTCCCAAGTCATGCAGTTATTTTTAAATTAGGGTTAGAGTTAGGGTTTTTAAATATGATATCACAAAAAAATATGTCCCTGTTTTGCTTCCTGTAAGCTATCATGGGATGTTCCCAAAGTTGTCATTAGGGTGCTCTAAACACGTACGGCAATTGGTATTCTAGCTATATAGAATTTATTATGTGAACATGAATGTACTTACTTTGTACATTATGTACATAATTTGTTTGGCTATTGAGGGTCATGTCACTTGACAGCTGTCCATTACTCATCAACTTTTAAAATGGCTGCTACGCCCCTGTATGTAGGCTTCACAGTTCATAAAGTTGTGTTCATTTGAAAAGACTATCATGATGAACTTTTGTCAGCCACAGAGCTTATTTTCTGTAATAATCTAAAAGCCAATAAAAAAAATCCTATTGGCTTTTGTGGAAGGAACAGGGAGATGCAAACTTATGGGTTGGCCTACAAAAATACATCATTACTGCAGTGCTCTATGACTACTGGGTAAATTTACTTCAAAAACATAACCCAATTATGCACAAATTAAGGAAACATTTTTCCCACTTCACATTTCACCAGAAAGACTTTATCCAGATGGAACAAAAGGACAAACTTTCATACCTACCTGAAGAAACTCTAGCAAACTCAAGCCTGGCTGCAAAGTATCTGAGGTCCTCACACAAAAAAAGGGCACCATTGGAACAGGGCCATGACTGGAGAAGAACTGAAATATTGTACAACATGCAGAAAACTGCAAAAACATAGTAATAAAGCATGAATTGTGATATTAGTATGTGTCTCCCTCTAAAAGCAAAGTTGTGAGTTATATGTGAGTTAACTATTTCAAAAACCATTACCATTGCCATTATCACATTCCCACTGAAAAACTAAGAAATGTCATGAACATTTTTAGTAGTGAAATTATTTTATTGATATCCAACACAATCTCAAAATAAAAATAAAAGAAATCTCAAAATAATTTTTATATATTGAACAATCAAAGAGGTAAAAGCATGACATAGTAAAACAATAAGGCAGACTTAAACATGCAAGTTATGTATAAGTGTTTATACAAGGTTAACATCACTACTTTAGTCTTTAAGTAACAGTTGGTATGCCAACTGAAAAGTCTCATAACCCTACACTAGTGACTTTCCTGAGCAGTGATGTCTAAAACAGCAGACAGAAATATACTGTTTGGGATGGGACTGACTACTGACCAATGACAGACCAGGATGTGTTTGGGGAAACTTGTTCGAAAGCAATTATTATGCAAATTCCATGAGATGCATCAAGAGGCACAGGAATTACATTTCATCATTTAGGTGTGTGAGTTGTTTTATGAAAAGAAAAAAAAGAAAAGAAATAAGGTTTGAGACAGCTTTAAATAGATACTGTTGAGATATTTCTCAAAGACACTGAGGATTCATAAACTCTGAATCCAGCATAGAGGGGTTCAGTGAATGTGGTGTTGAATGTGTGTAAGTGTGTGAGTGTGTGGGTGTCAGAGACGCTGTAGAAGGACAGAGTGCCGACCGACCAGTCCAGATACAATCCTACTGTATTAGAGGGGGGTGAAGGTGCAATTAAGTCAGTTCTGTCATTATTGTGACAAACAGTGTAACTGTTATCAGAACAGAAGAGACTCCAGGATTTGTCATTCCATCCAAAAACACAGTCACTTACTCCTTTCCTGCTGATTCCTTTATATGTCGCGGCTATGCCAGTCACTCTCCCACTCCATTCAACCTCCCAGTAACAGCGTTCAGTGAGCCTCTCTCCACACAGTACCTGGGGATATGTATCAAATCTCTCTGGAAGATCAGGATACAACTGCGGTGTTTTCATATGCATCACCTTCCTGTTCTCATCAGACAGCATGAGTTGAGTGTTTACGGTGTTTGGATCCAGTGTCAGATCACACGCATCTGAAAACAAGACAGATGATACATAAATGGATAGTTTTAGAGCTGTGTGTGTGTGTGTGTGTGTGTGTGTGTGTGGGGGGCCTACATTTTCTCAGTCCTGGTGTGATTCTAAAATGGCCTCCCTGATTCAAACTAGAAAGAGACAAATATAAAGAACAAATTATAAATGTTTGATTATTAAAACTGTGCAAGAAGCAGCTGAAATATCAGTGAATACATGATATTAAATGTATCTAAATGAGGCACTCCAAATTCAGGATTCTTGTAAGAAACTCTAATACACTCTAATAGCTCCAGAGCACCAAAGATAGATCAGCTCAAAATACCAACAGAATCCATAACACTAAACTTAAAAATATGGTGTTTAAATAGATATCACGTTGCCTTCTACTGTCACGCCCCCCCGACTGTTTGTTGTGTTTTCTCCCTCTTGTGCCCATATTTGGTTATGTTCCTGTTCTCATTGTGTCATTATTAGTTAATCATCTTCACCTGTCTGTTCCTCATCAGGCTCCCCTATATTTAGACAAGTCTGTGTTTTCTGTCTTTGTCCAGTGTTAAAGTTGAGATGTGCATATGATACCCGCCTACCTTCTGTGGATTCGTTCTGTGTGGATTATATTAAAGATTCTTCTTCTTCATCTTTATCTTCATTGTGCGTTTCTCACACCGCACCGTGACAGAACACTGGACCTATATAAAGTAATAGTGGCATTTTCCCTGTGTTATGAATGATCCTGCCTTCCTCGTCCTCTATATGGCCACTCACCATGGATAATGCGGATGACGACACCAGCCCCACTCCTAACCCAGAGCCCAGCCCACTATCACCCTGCTGCGCGGCGCCAAAGCCTGACCCAACCCTTGACGGAGAGCCAGAGCCCACCACGACTGACGAGCCATCGCCAGAGAGATCTCCCCAGAGCTGCCCACTGCACCATGGCTGTGCCCAATGGACTATACTTCAGATATTTATAGAAACTGTGACTGTGACTTGACATGTGGCCAAGTATGGTGACCCATACTCTGAATTAGTGCTCTGCATTTATCCCATCCAAAGTGCACACACACAGCAGTGAACACACACACACACACCGTGAACACACACCCGGAGCAGTGGGCAGCCATTTATGCTGCGGCGCCCGGGGAGCAGTTGGGGGTTCAGTGCCTTGCTCAAGGGCACCTCAGTCATGGTATTGAAGGTGGGAGAGAGCACTGTACATTCACTCCCCCCACCTACAATCCCTGCCGGTATGAGACTCGAACCCGCAACCTTGGGTTACGAGTCCGACTCTCTAACCATTAGGCCACGACTTATCAACGACAGAATTGTCTGTCTGCCCTGAACATTCTACCAGTGGGACAGCGACCATGGAGGTCGTTCCACTGTCACTGGTGCTCCCGGTGCTGGGAGTGGCCATGTGGTGTGTGTGGGCAGCACACAACATCCCTAATCCTCCTGAGCATCCTGAACTCCCACCCAGCCTCCCTCTTCCACCACCTCTGCACCAGTCCTCACCATCGCCACAGCTGTTTCCTGTCAGCCCCTCTGCTCACCCTCAGCCCACCATATGTGTGCTGGATTCACCGCGGGTCTGCCAGTCTCCATCGGCGTCGCGGCTGGAGGATCCCTTGTCTCCTCCTCCAGCCTCTGTGTCCTGGACTCCGCCTCGACCCTTCGACCCAGCGGCTCCACCATGGCTCCTATCTCCCTCCTCTCCGCCGTGGCCCGTCAGTCCACCAACTCCGCCGGACTCCCTCATCCCTCCGACTCCCACTTGGTCTGTCGTCAACCATTCGCCCGCCTCGGGTCTCCACTCCTCTGGCTACACCTTGTCCCTCCATCCCTCTGGTTCTTTGTCGCTCCGGCTCCACCATGGACTTCCGGATCTCCACCTCGGTCGCTGGTGCCATCTGCTCCGCCTTGGCCCTCCGGATCCTCCCCATCACCCTGGCTCATCGGCTCTCCATCTCCACCTCGGGCTCCTCCTCCACCTGCTCCGCCGCCGTCGGCCGACCCCCTGGAGACATCAGCCCTTCTTCCATCATGGCTTCTCCCTCCGTCTGCTCCACCGTGGGCCGCCATCATGGCTGCGGCCTGGGTCCCGCCTGGCTCCTCCTGCTCCAGGTCCCTCCTGTCTTCTCCTTGGCTCCTCCTTCCATCTGATCTGCCCTGGCTCCCCCTGTCCGTCCTCCGCCCAAACCTCCACCTGTACCGTCTGCCTGCCAGCCTTCCTGCCAGCCCTTCGCCATCCCCTTGTCACCATCCCACATCCACTCCTTTGTCCTCCTCCAGGACAAGTCCCTCCCTCCCTTTGTTGTTCCTGCGGCGTGAGGTTGCGCCTTCCGGGAAGGGGGCGAACTGTCACACCCCCATTGAACTGTTTGTTGTGTTTTCTCCCTCTTGTGCCCATATTTGGTTATGTTTCTGTTCCTGTTCTCGTTGTGTCATTATTAGTTAATCATCTTTACCTGTCTGTTCCTCATCAAGCTCCCCTATATTTAGTCAAGTCTGTGCTTTCTGTCTTTGTCCTGTGTTAAAGTTGAGTTGTGCGTGTGATACCTGCCTACCTTCTGTGGATTTGTTCTGTGTGGATTATATTAAAGATTATTCTTCTTCATCTTCACTGTGCATTTCTCACACCGCACCATAGCATCTACGATGGGTTAGTATGAACCCAAAAACATAATCTATGCAAGTACACAAATGCAGGCACTGATACTTGGCCAAGTATTTTTTTATGTTCCTCATTAGTCAGCTCTCTTTGTTGCTACCTAATATATGCCTGAGGCAGCTTATGACACAATAACTGTCATTAAAAGTCTAAATTGAACTAACTACTGTTTTAGGAAGACAGCCAATAAAACATGTTCAATGGTGAAGTCAAAATCCCATAGTAAATACAATTTGCTATACATTTTTTACTCTTTACTACATCATCTAATGTAAATTTACATTGTACAAATTAATAAACCTTGGACAAGTGTACCTTAGAGAATAGGTACTGTTTTAAAGAGAAAGGGTGGTCAGCAAGTATTGATTTGATTTAGTTTAATTAATGAACACATACTTCTGTCTGAAAACATCTTTACAGCAAGTACATAAAACTTGCAAATATTTTCATATTTATTAATTTGTTATGCAAATTAGATGACTCATTTGATATTATCAGTATAAATGATCTTAATTAAAACCCCATTACTGCCCCACATACTTGAGTATCTGCAGTTTATAGTTTGGATCCTCCAGTTTGTGTTTGAGCAGCTGGACTCCTGATTGTCCTGGGTGATTGTAGCTCAGATCCAGCTCTCTCAGGTGTGAGGGGTTTAAACTCAGAGCTGAAGACAAATAACCACAGCCTTCTTCTGTCACCATACAGCCTGACAACCTACAGACACATATCAATAGTAAGCAGGGGTTGAAATAAATTGTGTATCGACATATGAATATGACAGTCAAACCTCAGTTTTTCCAGCTGACAGTTTGGACTCTTCAGTCCATCAGAGAGCAGCTTCACTCCTGAATCCTGCAGGTCATTGTTACTCAGATCCAGCTCTCTCAGGACACAGTTTGAGGATTGTAGAGCTGATGACACAATTTCACAGTCCTGACCAAAGAGATTACAGCCAGGAAAACTGAAAGACAGCAGCACACAAGATAATCCAATTTGTAACCTCACTCTAGAACTGATATTTTTATAATATTACTTTCATTCTTCTAATATTTACATTTATAAACACTCTTTGCTATAACATGATTAAACACTCACATGGCTTTTCTGCAGTTGATCACAGCTGGTATCAGTCTTCTTCTTCCCTCATCTGATGTGTTGTATTTCTTGAGGTCCAGCTCATCCAGCGGGTCCTCTGACATCTGAAGCATGTAGGAGATTGTTGAGCAGTGAGCAGCAGAGAGTTTCTTCTCTGAGTGTTTGTCTGATTTCACAAACTCCTGAATCTCTCTGGACAGAGTCTGATCTTTCACTTCCAGCAGACAGAGGAACAGATTGATGGATCTTTCAGTGGAGAGTCCATGTCCATCTTTGATCTTCTCTTTAATGTACTGTGTGGTTCTCCTGATGCTCTCTGAGCTGTTCTCTGTGTGTGTCAGTAGATCCTGTAAGAGTCTCTGATTGGACTCCAGCGAGATGCCCAGCAGGAACCGCAGGAAAAGATCCAGCTGTCCATGCTCACGCTCAACGGCTTCATCTACTGCTCCTTTAAGCAGATTATGCATTGGAACAATTACCTTAAGTGTCTCCATGGTGCTGTTTAAATAGCAGTAAAACACATGGAAAGCAGCAAGAAACTCCTGAACGCTCAGATGAATGAAGCTGTAGACTTTCCTCTGATGAATCACAGATTCCTCCTTAAAGATCTCAGTGCAAATCCCAGAATACACAGAGGCATCAGGGACACCAGCAGAAGTCTGTGAAGACTGTACTGATGATCTCGGATCAAGTTTAGCTCTCGAAATGGAAGCACAAACATGAAATCTACATCCTGATTGGCTTTTCCCTCAGCCCAGTCCAGAATGAACTTTTGCACAGAGATGGTTTTTCCGATTCCAGCGATGCCTTTAGTAAGAACAGTCTTGATCTGCTCTTTCTCCTCAGATCCTGCTTCAGCTTTAAAGATGTCATTGCAGTAGATTGGTGTATCTTGTGAGCATTGTGTTCTGGCTGTTTTCTCCATCTGTAAAACCTCATGTTCTTCATTCATTCCTTCACTCTCTCCCTCTATGATGTAGAGCTGTGTGTAGATCCTGTTCAGGAGGGTTTGAGTCTGTTTGAGTTTGGTTCCCTCAAATAATCTCTCATATTTGATCTTCATGCTGGTTTTGTGGTAGTCTTTGACTCTTTGTAGTTCATCATGTACTGGTTTATGTAGGTCTCCAGTCTTCTCCTGCAGGTGAGCAGAATGAGCAGAAATGGTTCCTGTCATGACTCTTTGTGTTCTGGATTTCTTTCTGCACTTAGGACAGTCAAAGTCTTCTGATGGTCTGGACTGATCCCTAACGAAACTGATGCACTGTCTGCAGAAACTGTGTCCACAGCTGATAGAGACCGGATCTCTCAGAACCTGCTCACAAACTCCACATCTGGACTGATCCTGGATAAGATCGTTTCTCAAACTGTTGAGTCAAATCAGTTTTGAAGTACAAAAAATAAATAAATAAATAAAGACAAATGAAGAGTACAAGAATTATTTGCACCAGATAATGTTGTTAGCACCGGCTCAGCTTTGCATTGGTAATTATGGCTACTATGACTAATCAATAAAATCAATCAATTAAAATTTGACAATACATTTCATTATCAATCGGTCAGAGCTCATTGAATGCAAAATTCACTTGTACATGGTGTTTGCGTATAAAGTGTGTGTACACAACCACCCTACAATGATAAAAATCCATTCACTACTTTTCTTAATTCCCAAAAAACCTAAGCAGCCTCAATTATCAAGCCATTTTGATTTTCTGAGCAATATGGCATCATATTACTTGGGCCCCGCCCACGGCTGCTGACGGACTGTCCTGTATTAGCATATCTGTGCCCTCAGCCAGTTGTATGTGGTCCGCCATTTTCTTTGTGCTCGAGCAGCTGTAGTGACAACAATGTCTCGTAAGCAGTGCAGGTGTTTTGTCGTTGGATGTAAAACTGAACAAAAGAGTCTTCATTTTCTCCCGACATCAGAAATATAGGAAATAGAAATAATCCATGGAAGACAGGGGTGGAGTGAGCAGAGCTAATTAGCATAAAAAGAGACATACACCGAAACGTGTCGCAGTGAACAGAGCTGTTTTTAACATCATAAAAAAGGGTGTTGTTTTACACAACCATTGAGGAATTTTAACCAAAGTATGTTGCAGACCTTTCATGAAGACCCTAAAGATTCATATCAACCTGTGGAAAATGGGCATCTGATGTCCCCTTTAATAAAAGCATTCAGCCAATCTCGATTTTTTTTTTTTTTTTAGATATTATGTATCAGTGTTTTGTCTTACCTCAGGTCAGAGGTTACTGCTCCAAAGCTGAGATCCGGAGGCTTAAGTAAGGATACATGACTCTTCATAGAAACATAGCTTGGTTCTGGAGATGTGGTTTTGGGATTCTTCAGGCTTTTGACATCAATCAAATGATTCAGTCATTCTCCATTTATATATTATATAAGGTCTGTTCTGTATCTGTGTATTGTCTTACCTGGGGTCAGAGGTCACTGCTTCATCACTGATATTAGGAGGCATAACTATAGATAAATCACTTTTCATAGAGACACAGCTGGGTTCTGGAGAGGGTGCAGTGTAGCTCTTCTCCATTTTCTCATTCAGACTCATTTTAGAGGCAGTGTCCTTGTCCTCCAGCTCCTCACAGAGATTAGCTTTAGATGTAGGGCTGTGCTGTTCTTCATTCCTCTATACAAATAGGCCACTATTAAGCATTTCTGGAACACATTTGAAGAATTCATCTCTTCCATACTAAGCACAATAAACATAACATAGTGGTGTGTCATGAAGTCAGTGAAACTTTTTTTTTTCTTTAAAATAATTTTCATTAATGCATTCAGACTAAAGGGCTGTGAATTTATTATAAATGTTTTGATATAGTATTGCACAGGTTTCTTGTTTTTTTATATATTAATTTAACCTACTATTAAAAATTGTATTCATAAATATATTTACACACTGAATATGCAAATGAATTCAAGGCCACTTGGCAATTTTGAACTGTAATTTTTTTTTAACAATTACAAAAATACACACACACACACACAGGTATATATATATATATATATATATA